ATTCAGCAATGTAAAACTAATTGCCATAGGCACTATTGTCCATTGACAGGCCCCTGCTCTCACCCACCCCTGGCTGACTACCTTCGAGCAGGAAATCAAGAGATGGTGGCCTCAGCTTCGGAACAGACACAAGCGGGGCCCCAGGATGTAGCATTTATCTAGTTCACCTTTAACCAGTGAAAAGTGGGAGACAAAAGTGAAACTTGAAAGTTAAGAAACACCTAAGTGCAATAAATCTCCTCCTCATCTTCGTATTTTTTTTTCCAAACACTTTCAACCTCTATAGAACTTCACTTAAAGAAACCTTCCCCTCTAAGCAGCGGGATTAACTTGCAGAACAGAAAAAAAAAATAAATCCAAGATCTACTGTATTTTATTGATTTATACCTGGTCTGGTTCCAAAATTGTTGTTAGAGGCACACATAATTAACTATGCCACTGATTGCTGTGTTACTCACTCCAACTCTTTTTTACTGCAGTTTCATTGATGGCCTTGGCATATCAAAGATTAACAGACCCATCCAAGTCCTTATTACTAAACAAAGAGCCTTCAAGCAAATGATAGTGGACCCGTGAGTTATCTTTCTTAATGAAGAAAGTGCTTTATAATTATTGCTGTTGTTGGTATTGTCCAGTCGATTCTGACTCATGGCGACCCCACATGTGCAGAGTAGAACTGTGCTCCACAGAGTTTTCAAGACTGTGACCTTTTGGAAGCCAACTGCCAGGCCTGTCTTCTGAGGTGCCTCTAGGTGGATTTGAACCACCAACCTTTCGGCTAGTAGTCTGATCCTTAACTGTTTACACCACCAGGGACTCCTGCTTTACTTTAAAACTAAACCAAACCCATTGCTGTCGAGTCGATTCCTGACTCGTAGCAACCCTATGAATAGAACTACGTAGTTCTCCAGAGTTCTACTAGAACTGCCCCATAAGGTTTCCAAGGAGTGGCTGGTGGATTTGAACTGCTGACCTTTTGGTTAGCAGCCAAGCTCTTAGCCACTGCGCCGCCAGGGCTCGGCTTTACAATTAAGAGATGTCAAATGAGCCAATTGTGGGCTAGATACAAAAGCTCACTCGAGCTCTGTAAAGGTGCTGGCCTTTCCTGCCATGTTACTTGTCAACCAAAGTTGAAGAACTAGAATTGACAAGAAGAAAAGAAAAGTAGGAAGCCAATGACATGGCCGTGGTGTCTGACGAACTGGAGCTGGCCAACTTCAAGCTATCCCTGGACCTTGGTAATGGTACAAAGGGATGGGCAATGCAGGGGGTGCACTCAGCCATCGTTGGTCTCTCCTGGGTGGGTGCTTTGAGGATGACCATAACCCCAGATCACACAAAAGTATTCTAGTCTTGATGGTCCTATTTCTGTTACTGTCAGCTGCCATTCTTTCGGCCCTCACTCATTGCGACCCCACGCACCGCAAAATGAAATGCTGCTTGGTCCCTGCACTAGCCCCATGATTGGTTGCAGATTGGACCATTGTGATCCATAGAGTTTTCTTTGGCTGATTTTTGGAAATAGATCACCAGATCTTTCTTGCTAGTATGTCTTAGTCTGGAAGGTCCATTGAAACCTGTGTCAGCATCACAGCAACATGCAAGTCTCCAGTGATAGATGGGTGGTGGCTGCATATGAGGTGCATTGGCTGGGAATTAAACCCAAGTCTCCCGCATGGCAGGGAGACTACCACTGAATCATCACTGCCTTGGCTCTGTTTCTTTGTTAGTTACTGTTGAGTCAGTTCCAACTCACAGTGACCCCCCCGTGTTTGCAGAGTAGAACTGCTCCATAGGGTTTACAAGACCTTTTGGAAGCAGATCGCCAGGCTGGTCTTCTGAGGCATCTCTGGTTGGGTTAGAACCGTCAACCTTTTGGCTGGGAGTCAAGCATTTAATGATTTGCACTGCCCAGGGACTCCTGTTCTAAATCTCTTGTTTCTAGCCCTTTGCCATCAAGTCAATTCCAACTCATAGCAACCCTATAGGGCAGAGTAGAACTGCCTTGTGGGGTTTCCCAGGAGCGGCTGGTGGATTCGAACTGCCTACCTATTGGTTAGCAGCCAAACGCTTAGCCACTGCACCACCAGGGTGGCCCTTGTTTCTAGGTACCCCAAAAAAGATGATTTCTGCAATCCAGCGCTGCGAAGACTCTGTGAGTGTCAGGCTGGGTGGTGCTTTCTGTTCACGTTATAACTCAACCCCACGTTTCTCTAAAGCCTGATTTCATTTTCCGTTCAGATTCCATCAAATTCTTTCACAAAAGTTGCTTTGAGTTGCAATAGGTTGTATGTTGGAATTTTCCTGACCTGTCTTATATTTCTCTTTAATCATTTGTGCCTAAAATATGGGATTTTTTTTTTTCTTTTAAGGGTATAGGGTGGAAAAGCAGCAACTGGTCAAGGGGAAGAGTCATTGAAATACCAAGATCCTCAAAGATTTGGTTTCTTCCTGCTCACATCTCCAAGAAGAACTTCCCCACAGAGCTACAGTAACATACATCGACGGACAGCAGATGTGTGTCCTCAGCAGTTTCTTTCATTGGACAGTCCTGGCGATCATTATATTTCTCTCTCCAGGACCCTCGGCTCATTTACCAGTCTCATTCCTGTTGACGTATGCTCTTAAAAAAGCAGTCAAGTGTTAGTACCCTTTGGAGTGAAAGGCCAGCTCCCTTTACAGCAAAGGGGACTACATAGAACCTGTGTGAACAGGGGTTACAGAAGGCTCTCAGGAAGGAGCCAGTCGACAGATGGCAAAATAGACTCAGGGTTCCATTTTCCACAGGGGTCTCCAAGTAGCCGGAGGAGCTGCGCTCAGGACAACGCATAAGGGCAGACACATCACCTCGTGTTCCCTTTATCTTAGTCTACTCAGCAGTAATTTTTTTTTATTTTTAAATCGAGGTAAAATTCAACCTAACATAAAATTAATCATTAACCATTTTAAAGAGTACAGTCAGTCGCATTTCGTACATTTGCAACATTTCCCCACCATCACCTCTGCGTAGTTCCAAGACATTTTCATCACCCCAGAAGGAAACCTCGGACCCATTAAGCAATCACACCTTATCTTCCCATTCCCCAGCCCCTGGCGACCACTTATCTGCTATCTGTTTCTATGGATTTATCTACTGGGGACAGTTCCTATAAATGGAATCATATGATATTGTCCTTTTGAGATTGGCTTCTTTCACTCAGTATAGTGTTTTCAAATTTCATCCATGCTGTAGCATGTATTAGAACTTTATTCCTTTTTATGGTGGAATAATATTCCACCGTATGTATGTACCACATTTTGCTTACCCATTCATCAGTTGTGGACACTTGGGTTGTTTCCACCATTGACTATTGTGAATAATGCTACTATGAACAAGTATTTGTTGGAGTCCTTGCTTTCAATTCTTTTGGGTATGCACCTAGGAGCGGAATTGCATAGGTGCTAATTCCATGTTTAACTTTTTTGAGGAACCGCCAAACTGTTTCCCACAGTGGACAATAACACCTTTACTGTGATGTTTCCCTTGTATTTGCAGGGAAGCAGTTCAGTTTTCAGAAAACTAGAAAGAGCAACATCGCTTTGGGCTTAAACTAGCCTCTTGCTTTTTCTTGATTCTCTGTTTTTGTCCACAAGTCACACATCTTGGGTCAGAATCCAGGCTGATGAATTTCTTTTGCTGGAAATGTACGTGTATCTTCTTTCATAATTATTCACTTTTTCTTTCATGAAAATATTTGGTCTACTTTCATCTATGTATGGTTGTCTCCATTGACAAGATGGACTCCTCAAAGGTGAAGTTATATCTTCTTCCTTCTCCTATTCCTCAAGTGGAGATCTGTATTGATACCGCTAACTAGACCTTCAAAGAAGTGATAGGTAAACATTCCCCAAATCTTTCTTCCTTGGTAGAGAATACATTATTTCTGGAGACAGAGAATGCAGGTCTGTTGTGTTTTAGTGGGTGATATTGATATATTGGTAGCTACATAGTTTGCTGACTATTTTTCGCTATATGAACAGGTGGTCATGCTATGGGGCACTTCCTTGAATTTCCAATCCTTGATTACACATGAAAATGTCTGCACTCCAGACAAGGAGATAGCATTGTAGAGATGGGATGGCCTGAGAGAACTGAGATGTTCAGGGGTAGAAAAGTGGTTAGTATTCCTGGGGCTTGGGGTAAGAGCGAAGAGAGAAGTCTGGGAAGTGGTTTTAAGCCAGATCAGGAAAGGCTTAAGGCCATGGGAAACAGTTTGGCCTTTATCTTGAAGGCTAAGGAGAACCCCTGAAAGCTTTTAAGCAGGGACTGACTAGATCAGATTCATATTTAAGAAGGACTGCTAAGACAGCAGTGTGAAGAATGGCTATGAGAGGCATGGGTAGTGTGTAAAGAGACTTATTAGTAGGATATTGAGATCATCTACTGGAGAAATGATGAAGGTCTGAACTCGGTATGTTAGGAGATGAATTTGAAAGATATTAAGCAAGCAGAATGGGTGGGACTGATTTCTATCTTGCTTTCCTAATAGCCGTCTGTCATGGTTTGAATTATGTCCCCCCAAAAATGTGTGTATCAGTTTGGCTAGGCCATGATTCCTGGTACTGTGTGATTTTCCTGTATGTTGTAAACCTGCCTCTATGATGTTAATGAGGGAGGATGGGTGGCAGTTGTGTTAGTAAGGCAAGACCTGCTCTACAAGACTGGATTGTGTCCTGAGGCAATCTCTTGAGATATAAAAGACAGAAGTGAGCAGTGAGACAGGGGGACCTCATACCATCAAGAAAGCAATGCCAGGAGCAGAGCACGTCCTTTCGACCGGGGTCCCTGTGCCAAGAAGCTCCTAGTCTAGGGGAACACTGATCGGAAGGCCAAGAGAGAGAGAAAGCTTTCCCCTCGAGCTGACACCCTGAATTTGGACTTTTAGCCTACTTTACTGTAAGGAAATAAATTTCTCTTTGTTAAAGCCATCCACTTGTGGTATTTCTGTTGTAGCAGCACTAGATGACTAAGACACCATCCTACTCCTTCTCTTAATGAATAGATCCTCTATGTTACTGGGAGGAGGAGAGCGACCAGGTAAAAACCTAAATTTCCCAGACTTCCTTGCAGGAGCAACTAATGAGAATAGTGGACTGGGCTTCTGGGAAACTTTTAAAGGGGATTTACTCAGCTGGAGGTGCCTTAATTGCCTCTTCCCTCTTTCTCTTTCTTTCTGCCGGGAACTTGGAAACAGCCATCTTGTAATCCTGATGTGTTCTTCAGAATGGAAGCCATGTGAAAAGCAGGGCAGAGAAGAAAGACAGGAGTCCAGGGGCCTGATGACATAGTGGAACCAACTTACCAATCTGAACTTCACACTATGTGAGAAAAAGATAAGTCCTTGTCTTGTTTGAACCACTATTATTTCCGTCTGTTACCATCAGCCAAATGCAATTCCTAACTGAGACAAATGGTGATAAGTTGTAGGTAGGGGGTGAGAGCAAAGAGCCAGACATAGACTCCAATTTATTTCTTGATTGTTGGGGTGGATGATGGTGCTAGTCACAAAGACAAGGAATAGAAGGGGAATGTAGGAACAAGATGATGAATTTAGCTTTGTGCATATTGAGTCTGAGGCATGTCTGCCATGGACAAGTCTATGTCCAGGAAACAATGAGATGTAGACCTCAGCTCTGGAGACATACTTCTGGACATCATCACCCTACAGGTAACAGTTGAAGTCATGGGAGTATATGAGATCACTCAGAGAGAGAAAATGAAAAGAGAAAAGGACCAGGACAAAGCCCAGAAGAGTCCAGCATTTGAGAATGAGACACCCATGAGGAGGACAGAGAAGACTCAGCCAGAGAGTTAGGGAGATGACCTATAGAGAGTGGTGCCATGGAAATGAAGGACATTCAGAGGACAGGGTAGTCACTAACACCACAGTTATGAAGTACTGAGAAAAGAGAGGAGACGGCTCAGGACGGAAAATGGTCAGAAGATTCCTTCCTTCTATGAAAAGTCTGGAGGAGTGCTGGCTCAGTGGTAGAATTCTTGCTTTTCTGTGCAGGAGACTCGGTTTGGATTCTGGCCAGTGCCCCTCATGCACAGCCACCACTCATCTGTCAGTGGAGGTTGTGTGTTGCTATGATGCTGAACAGGTTTCAGTGGAGCTTCCAGACTAAGATGGACTAGGAAGAAAGGCCTGGTGATCTACTTCTGAAAATCAGCCAATGAAAACCGTATGGATCACAGGATCTGATCTGCCACAGATCATGGTGATGGTGTAGGACCAGGCAGCTTTCCATTCCATTGTGCATGGGGTCACAATGAGTCCAGGGATGACTTGTTGTCAGCTAACAACAATGACAACAAAAAACCTTCTCAGAATGATCCGTCCGTAGAAGGTGGTCACAGGTTTAATTTGTGTCATGATACCATCACACTTGTGATTCTTTTAGAGTCTCATAGCACCCTATTGTTTTATTTGTTAACCATTCCCTCTCCCACCAACTGATCTATCTCCCCAAATGTGTCAAATGGCTGTAGCACACTGAGGTAAAAGATAACTGCGGTTGTGATTCTGTGCTATGTTAAATACATCATTGTTGTTGTTGTTGTTAGGTGCTGTCAAGTTGGAGCCAACTCCTGGGGACCTGCTATATAACAGGATGACATGTTGCCTGGTCCTGTGCCATCTTCACGATCCTTGTTATGTTTGAGACCATTGTCACAGCTATTGCTTCAGTCCATTTCACGAAGGATTTCTCTTATTCTCCTTGGTCCTGTACTTTACCAAAGATAATGTCCTATATAGGGCTATATATTGAGAGTCTGTATATAGGACTCTGATATAAGAGAAGAAAAGTTTTTAAAGACGGTATTGAAAAAAAAGGAAAGGCAGAGGGCAAGAACGTATGCATGTGATAGTGGTACCAACAGAATATTCCTCTCTTCCAGTGGTGGGAGCCGTGCTCTCATGGCCTCCTCGGTCTTTGTTGGATGCTGAGCAGAGCTATCATGGGATGGATCTGTCTTTTATCTCTGCAGTCAAAGTAGTATGATGTTTACAGTTGCTTTCCTAAACTTAGAAGTTATTTTCTTATACTCAGAAGTGAGGAGTATGTCTTCTGGGGAATGTCCTCAGATTGCATCAGCTGGCATCTGAGGACCAGCTCTCTCTGTGCTCCAGGTCTCTCAAGGATGCTTAGTGAACCTGTTCTAGCTTTGGGCAGCTTCCTGCTTGGAAGGATTAAAATAATTGCTTTCATAAGGAGTGCCTTGTCACTTATGAGCCGTGGCTGGTCCTTGGCCCCTTAACCAGCTCTGGGAGAGTTAGGGAACAGTCTCAGCATTAACCAGGAACTTCCTGGGTGTAAAGCTTCCCTTCAAGATGTCACACTATGTCAAATTAAAGATATGATCCCTGCTCCCAAGTTGCTTAAACTCTAGATTTGGGTGAAGGTTAGAGAGGAAGAGAGGACAACATTTTAGTCAGAACTCCTCACTTTTTGGCTGACTATCTATAAGCAGGGAGCAGGGATGGTTCAGTGGTAGAACTCTGCCTTCCATACAGGAGACCTGGGTTCGATTCCCAGACAGTGCACCTCAAGGGCAGCCACCACCCATCTGTCAGAGGAGGCTTGCATGTTGCTGTGATGTTGAACAGGTTTCGGTGGAGCTTCCAGACTAAGACAGACTAGGAAGAAAGGCCTGGTGATCTACTTCTGAAAAGCCAGCCAATGAAAGCCCCATGGATCACAACAATCCAATCTTATTTGTCCATGGGGACCACATGAGTGGGGGGCCAACACAATGACAGCCAACAACAACAACGACAACATCTGTAAACATGCACATATATGATCACATAATCTGTCACACATACGAAGATGCTGTAGAATTTATCTGTTGGTCTTAGCTATCTAGAAAAAAGCTTAGGTCTTGAGAAGTCACACTTGATATTAAAAAAAAAAAGTTTTAATTCTACTTTCACTTTTCTTAGCTTATTCCAAATTAATTCCCCCTTATTTTGGATATATTCTAGACATCTTTTCCAGAATGTACCAGATTAGAGCTGTGGAGATGTGTTGTCTCAGGCAATTGCAATAGACTATCTTCAAGGAGAAGTGATTTTTACGAACTTGGCACTAAAGCAATGGTTCCCAAACTTGTCTGACACACATAAGTATCTTTTATGAATTCCAAAGCCCAGGCCACACCCAAACCAAAAAGCCAAATCGGTTGCCGTCGAGTCGATTCCGACTCACAGCGAACTTGTAGGACCTAGTAGAACTACCCCATAGGATTTACAAGGAGTGACTGGTGGATTCGAACGGTTGATCTTATGGTTAACAGCCGAGTTCTTAACCACTGTGCCACCAGGGCCCCTAGACCACATCCAAGACTGATTAAGTCACAGTCTCTGAGGGTGGGACACAGGCATTGGTATTTGTGGACGCGCCCTCTTGTTGATAGTTGCTGTCGAGTCTATTCTGACTCATAGTGATCCCTTGTGTGTGGAGTAGAATGGTGCTCCATAGAGTTTTCAAATCTGTGACCTTTCTGAAGCAGATGGCCAGGCCTGTCTTCTGAAGTGCCTCTGGGTGGGTTTGAGTCACCAACCTTTCCATTAGTTAAGTGCTTTAACCATTGGCGCCACCAGGGAACTCCTGGCGGCTCCCTCGGTGATTCCAGCTTGCAGAGAAGGTAGGCAACCATTGCACTGAAGACGAAAGTAGAAAAATGGAACGTTCAGTTGTTTAGTATTCTGGGGCCATTTTGTGCGGGAGCAATTATCTTCCACATTTCTAAAAACAGCCTCTATCTTCCTTGAGGGACATGAAGGTTAGACGATGTCCTGAGCAGGTAGCTCAGGTAGCAGAGATTTGCTTTCCTTTCCTGGTTCTTGATAGTCCTGGAGGTATCACTGTGTTACAAGTGTGACCCCCGTGAAAGGCCCCTCCTCAGTCTTGCAGGGTTTGTGTCTAAGTATCCTCTGGAAATGGAAAAGATGGGAACTTAGGGGCCTTCGAGATGGGGCATGTTGCAGTCATGGCTGCTTGGATCACAGCCCTCAGAGAGATGTTCCTTGTCACCTAAACCTAAACCCATTGCCGTCAGACTGATTCTGACTCATGGCGACCCTATAGGACAGAGTAGAACAGCTCCATAGGATTTCCAAAGTTGCAATCTTTACAGAAGCAGATTGCTACATCTTTCTCCTGTGGAACAGCTGGTGGGTTCTAACTGCTGACCTTTCGGTTATCGGCACAACACTTAACCACTTCGCCACCAGGGCCTTATCACCTAGTACAATAAAATCTGCACAAGGATACCGCCATTTTCTGCAATGACCAGGGAGGAGAAAGGACACCCCCAGTAGTCAAGGGTATCACACCTGGACCTAGCCTCTTCCTCGTGACTAGATACCTGTTCCCCTTCCACAGTCTTCTCCCTTTTCTTTCGTTCTGTCTAGACTCTCCTGCTACCACGCCTTGTTCCCTTGGACTTGCAACTCTTCTCTATAGAGACACGGATGTCCCTGTACCTTAATCCATCCTTCGCTCTCACAAATTTTATAGCCTCGGGCTTTGTTAAGTGTCCACCACCTTCCTGCTCTTTTAAGCTTCTGCTGTTGCAGCAGACGATGCGGTGAGCTCCAATCCCCTGTGTGTGAGTGGGAGAGGGCCAGAGATGTGGGGCAAGTTGTGAGGACCCAGGGTTTCTGCCCTATTTATAGGGGCGTATGGGAGGATTGGGGGAACAAATAGGAGGGGAGATGTCTAACTTTACCCTGTTGCAGACACCCTTCAACAATGGAGGCTTACTAAAAGGGTGCTTATGCTGTAATGTTGACTTATAAGAGGTGTCCCTGGGTGGTACAAACAGTTAATGTGCTTGGCAGCTAACCCAAAGATTGGAGGTTCGAGTCCACCCAGAGGCATCTCGGAAGAAAAGCCTAGCAATCTACTTCTGAAAATTCAGCCATTGAAAACCCTATGGAGCACAGTTCTCCTCCGACACACTTGGGGTTGCCATGAGTTAGAACTGATTTGACGGCAATTGGTAAAACTTGTAACAGAGTGAACTATGAGCTTTCATGTTCAAGATGACATTTTATTAAATCAAAACTCCCCAAAAATGCATTGGAAAAAAAGCTTAGAAAGTGATACACAAAAATGTTAGCAGTGGTTGCTTTTTGGATGGCATGATTATGGCTGATTAGAAATATATATATATATTTTTTTTTTCACAAGGAACATATTGTTCTTCTAATTAAGAGAAGACAAATCATTCTTTTGAAACAGGATGTCCAAAATGATGCTCCCGAGTTTAAAAAAAAAAAAGAATGCTACAGTGTTCATTCCTCTCTGTTT